ACTCAATTTCCTCATCTGTAAGTAGGCAATAATGCATAGCTTGCAGAGTTGTGAGAGTCCTATAAAGTGCCTAATAGAATTCCTATAACAGTGAGAAGAAACTCAATAAGTGATAACTAGTAAAGTTGATATTGCATTTTTCTAGTGTTCAGGTCTGAATTAGAGGTCCTAAAGATACTTTGATAAAAAAGGTAAAATGTGTTTCTGTGAACCTAAAATGTAAGAAGCTTAATGTATACTCCTCTGTAGAATAAAGAGAGTTAAACCAATAAAATGCTTTCACCCATTTCCACTCTGAACTTGCCCATCATTCTGAATTACCTTCACTGAAGTTATTCCCATTTAGAGGAATAGGAGTCTCTGTGGAATGAACATCAGGCAAAGCAAGGTTGACTTCTCATCAGGCCTCAGACATTCTTCATATTGCAATGGAGAAAACAACAAAAAATGACCAACTTGGCATCTTTAGGAGGAAGCAAAACTATTAGACAAAAAGGTTTTCTGTATGTGATCTTTATTTCGAAACTGCACGGGAAATTATAGAGCTTGCGTCTTCTATTCCGTTAGCCCCCTGAAGTTAATTGAAGCTAAATTACACAGTGCACGTTTAGACAGGAGATTCCTAGGAAATGTTTCCCACTGGCTCTCCATAATGTATTATTCTACATGCCAACTTTGAGAATTGCAGAATTGAATAAAGTTCAGCTGGGTCATAAATAAGGTAATTGGATATAATTAATTCTCTACAATATGAAAAGTTCCTCTTTCCTTCAAGTTTCTCTGGTCTCAGATCGAATAAGGAGTAGATAGAAATAGACGGGGGTATGGGGTGTGAGGGAGTTGAGAATCTTGATTCTTCGTAGATAGAATGATTTTCTGTATTCTGTTCTGATTCATGTATGTGCCCAAAGAAATAAAGGCCAAGAGGCTGCTTCATTGTATGATAGAACAAATAAAGCTTGTTAACTGTCATTCTGTGACATTCCAGCATTGCTTCCTTGTCTTCTTTTTTATTTTTACTTGACTATAATATATTTATTTTTACCGAAAAGAAATTTTAATCATACCAAAGTTATTTTTCTCACCCTTTTTTCATCCCCCCTCCTTCTAATCTCATGGTTGACTGGGAAAATGAATAAATAAATTCCTAAGGGGCCAAACCCAGGGCCCTTTGATGATACAGAGGGAATCCAGATGTTCACCCTGCCCCCTACCTCCTATAAAGGGTTTCATGGAATTTGTTGCTGGTCATAATATACCTCCTAAAAAAGAGTTTTCTCCTGCAGTTTTACAGGTATTATTAAATTAAGTTTCCACCTTTTGTTTCAAATAACAGATGAAATGGTATCTTTCAGAGCTGACTTGCTACCTCTAGTGACTACATTCTGCACATTCTCATAGGTATGGGTTGTCAATACGCCATTTAAGAAAGATTTATATCTAAGATCATTCTATTCTTTTCAGGTCTATACGTTTGTGCCTCTGGCTGGTCACATGGACACATGCTCTGTTCTGCTGCTCTCTTACAGGAAAGTAGACACCAGCATGGTCACCAGATTCAGACAATAGATGATAGGATAAGGTTTCATTTTGATTGAATTTAATTTAACTCTGTGAAAATTGTGTTTTATTGGCTAATTTTAGACAATTACGTCTCAATTGAACTAGGCCACTTTCTTCTAGCATTTTTAAACTTTAAAACATATATTTTTATAATTTCTTTATGAAATATGTTTGTGGCAAGGAAAATAGCCTTCATAAAACCAGAATATATTTAATAATTCTCCTGAACCATGAACTATTTCTTTATATGATCCCTCCCCTCTGGGAAATAACTGAATGAACAAATGGATCTTACCCCATATATGGAAGTTTTTTTTTAAAAAACCCAAAGCACAGAAAGTTTTTGAAAATAAAATTCTTATCACAGGCTTCCAAGGGAAAGCACCCAGACTCCAACCTGTAGAAATGCAAGGCCAATAGACAAAAAAGGAGAAAGAATAGGCTCCAAGGAGTCCTAGGGTGAGATACAGAGATAATCCCCTAAGCAGGACACTCTATATTAGAAGAGCAGTTGAAACAGGAAAGTCAATAAAGTGTAATAGTTTAGTAACTGATTTCAGGAAACAAATCATTCTGAATCCCTATTTTATGGATGAATGAAATTCTGAAATTTGAGATGGGGCTTCACAAGTTTTAGGGCAACAACTATCAAATAAAAGCACAGCTGGGACCCTTGCTTTAAAAAAGCCTGGATTTTCTTAGTGGGTTAATAATAGTAGCAATTCTTAAGATAAAATCATTTAGAAATGGAAAGTTGGTTGACATTTTGTATGTTTGCCTAACTGACTATGGAAATTTAATATATAGTATTCTATTTCCAGAAAAAAGGAAGAAAAAAATTAAAAGAATGTATAAACTATCCAAGGTAAAACAAAATCTCTGTCCAAGTTTTTCTGAAAATATAGGTTGTGTTTGAAGAATAAAAGGTTTCAATTATTACATTCTGGCTCTGCCAAAAGAGCAAACACAAGATGACAGTTAAATTTATGAGACTGTCAGTGTTGTTTTACCTAAAACAGAACTTTCCTCCCATATCTATTCTCACCCTCTGAGATACAGGATTAAGATGCTATTCTCACATTCTGGAATAAGGGATTAATCGTTCTCCACTGTTATTTCTCATTTTTTATAGCTCTATTACAGTGCTCCATTGAGGATATAATATTACGTGTAAAACTACAGGAGAAATCTCATCAAAGAGTTAATGAACAAAAAGATGTAAGAAAAGAAAACTCTGTGAACCACAGAATATATTTAAAATGTCTCATGTCATTTACTTAAATGCTTTATATGATTAGAAAAATACAAAGAAGGAGACTTGGTAGAAAATAATTTTTGTACCAGACATGTCAGTCACAGGGATTATCTTACCCACAGGCTTTCTGAGAGTGCAGCCATGACCAGATTTATTTTGGATCATGAAACCCTTCCCAGATGACCACAGCTGATTAGACCAGGGATGGACACCTGACCCAAGTGCTGCCAATCCGTAGATGGGGCAGAGCATATTACTTTGTCAAGTGTGAAAAACCATTTCCAAATTGGAATGCTAGTAATTATCTAGATCTATCAGATGCTCCTTCTCTGAGGAATTTGACCTGGGAATATGAAAAGAATCAAGTAGACAGCAACAAGAATGAAAGTAAATTGATACAAAGGGAAGTACACATACTCAGAATAGCTGCAGAGTGATAATGCTACTGAGGTAACCAGAGCTGCCTGGAGTCTAGAGGACTTTTCAGATCCAGTATCAATCAGACTGGGCTGAGTTTCCTGCCAAAATTCCCTCTTTCTTATTGTCACACATATTCTTGCAATAAACTTCCATTACAAGAGCTAGCTGTTGACAAGAAAAGCCAAACTCTGTAAAATATTTGAAGAGATTTATTCTGAGCCAAATGTGAGGACTGTGACCCATGACATGGCCTCAGGAGGTCCTGAGAACATATGCCAAGATTATTGGGTTACAGCTTCATTTTATATATCTTAGGGAGGCATAAGACATCAATCAATACATGTGCAGTATACATTGGTTTGGTCTGGGAAGGTGTGACAACTTGAAGCAGGGGGCTTATTAAGTCATAGGTGGATTCAAAGATTTTCTGATTGGCAGTTGGTTGAAAGAGCTAAGTTATCTAAAAACCTGGAATCAATAGAAATGAGTGCCTGGGTTAAGATAAGGGGTTATGGAAATCAAGGTTCTTATTATGTAGATGGAGTCTCAGAAATGTTTCCTATTTAGGCCTTTAAAAGATACTAGACTCTTAACTAATCTCCTCAGGATCAGAAAAATACCTAAAATGGGAAAGGGATTGTCTATAGTAGGTAAATTTTCCCCGCAAGAGACAGTTTTGCAGGGCCATTTCAAAATATGTGAAATAAACATATTTTGGGTAAAATGTTTTGATTTCTTACAGGGCCTGCTATCTGTCATGTGATGCTATACTAGAGTCGGGTTAGAATTTGGTATCTTATTTCTAAAAAGAGTCTGTTAGTCTTAAGATCTCTGTTTTAATGTTAATGCTGGTCAGCCATGCCTGAATTCCAGTGGGAGGAAAGTATAATGAGGCATGTCTGACCCCTGCTTCCCATCATTGCCTGAACTAGCTTTTCAGGTTTCTTTGGAGTCCTCCTGGCTGAAAGCAGGGGTCCCTTCAGTTGGCTGGGGGGCTTAGAATTTTATTTTTGGTTTACATAGCCTCAGGGAGTTCTGGATTCTTGAACTCAAAATAGCCTCAATCAAAAGAAGGTGAGATCGCTGTTGCTATAATTTAAATATGTACCCCAAAGTTCATGTGTGGAAAACATAGTCTCCAGTGCAACAGTGTTGAAAGGTGAGACCTTTAAGAGGTGATTTGGTCATGAGGGCTCTGCCTCATAAAAGGATGAGTTACATTTCCTTCCCTTCCATCCCACCTCTTGCCCTCTCTTGCTCTCTCCCCTTCCACCCTGTGATGACACAGCAAGAAGGCCCTTGCTAGATGCTAGCCCTCTGACCTTAGATGCCCCAGCATCCAGACCTGTAAGAAACAAGTCTCTGTTCTTTATAAATTACAAAACAAGCTAAGGCAGAAAATTGGTACTGAGAAGTCAGGCTGTGGCTCTAATAAATCTCTGGAAATGTTGAAGTGCCTTTGGAACTGGGTAATGGGTAAGGGCTGGAGGAATTTGGAGAAACAGGCTAGAGAAAGTCTAGATTGATGTGAATGGAGTATTAAGGGTAATTCTAGTGAGTGCTGAGAGGAAGACAAGAGCTATAGAGAGAGCCTAATTCTTCTCAGGTATTAAGTGATAAGAATGTTGGTAGAAATATGGATGATAAAGTTCATTCTGATGAGGACTTAGATTGAAATGAGAAACAAGGTATTGGAAAGTGGAGTAAAGTTTATCCTTGTTATAGAGTTGCAAAGAACTTGACAGAGTTGTGTTTGTGTCCTAGAACTTTGTGGAAGAAAGAACTTAAGAATGATGAATGAGGATGTCTGGCAGAAGAAATATCTAAGCAGCAGGTATCTTACATATATAAGAAATATCTAAAGCTGCTTTTGGGTTTACAGTAAAATAAAAAGAGGAAGTAATTTCCTAAAGAAGGAATTTATAATTAAAAGGAAAGCAGAATGAAAAGATTTGGGAAACTCTTGGGCTGGCCATGTAAAGAATTTTAAAATGTGTTGGGAGAGAATACTAAGGTGTGGCCAAGTGACTATTCTGCTAAAGAGAATTAACATTAATAGAAAGAAGTCAGGTTCTATTCATTAAGACAATGGGAGAAAGACCTCAATTGTATTTCAGAGATCTTCAAGGCAAGCTAGGACTCTGAGGGCAAGGTTTCCGGAGAGGCTTCTGTGGGACCTCAGCATTTGCTGCTCAGGTCACCTCAGGATTCTGCTTCCTGCATTCCAGTGCAGAACCCCTTGGCTGCCCCAGCCCCTGACTCAAGTAGATCCAGATGGAGCTCATGCTACAGCTCCAGACAGCACAAGCAGGAAGCCTCAGTAGCATCTATGTGATGCCAACTCCATAGATGTGCAGAGAGCATGAGCTGTGGGGCCATGGTGGCCTCCACTTATATTTCAAAAGATATTACAGACTGCCTGGGGGCCCAGGGAGAAACCTGCTTCAAGGGTGGAGGATCCACAGATAGTCCCCATTAGGGCAAAGCCTAGTGGAGTAATGGGAGTAGGGCAGCCCCCAAGATCACAGAGCTTGAAAGTCAAAGGCACAAGCCTCCAACCTGTGAGAATTTCTGGGTTGACTGAACCCAGCAAAGCCACAGGGGTGGGGCTGCCTGAGGCCTTGCAAGCCCAGCCACTACCCTGGTGTGCTTAGGATGCAGGATATGGCGTTAAAGGAAATTATTATCCAGCTTTAATACTTAAGGTTGTTTTCCTTGATGGGTTTTGACTTACCTGGGGCCTGTTACTTCTTTCTTACCTATTTCTCCCTTAAGAAATGAGAATGTCTATCTGATGCCTTTCCCACCATTGTATTTTGGAAGTAAATAACTTGTTCTGATTTCACAGTTGCACAGCTGGAAGAGAATTTGCCTCAGGATGAATTGTGCCTTGAGTTTCACTTATTTCTGATGAGGCTCTGGACTTGTGTTGGAAATTTAATCCCCAATGCAACATTGTTGAAAGGAGGGACCTTTAAGATGTGATGTGACTGGGCACAGTGACTCATATCTGCAATCCCAGCACTTGGGGGACCAAAGTGGGAGAATCTCTTGAGCCCAGGCATTCGAAACCAGCTTGGGAAACACAGGGAGACCCCATCTCTTAAAAGAAAAATATTAGCTGGGCAGGGTGGCACACACCTGTAGTTCCAGCTACTCAAGAGGCTAAGGCAAGAGGCTCACTTGAGCCTAGGAGTTTAAAGCTGCAATGATCTGTGATCATGCCACTACACTCCAGCCTGGACAACAGAGTGAGACCCTATCTTAAAAAAAAAAAGAAAGAAAAAGAAAGAAAGAAAGAAAGGAAAAGAAAGAAAGGAAGGAAGGAAGGAAGGAAGGAAGGAAGGAAGGAAGGAAGGAAGGAAGGAAACCCCAAACCAAACCAAACCAAACCAACCAAACAAATAAACAAAATAGAGGTGATTTGGTCATGAAGGCTCTGCCCACATCAATGGATTAGTTGTTATTGCAAAAGTGAATTAGTTATTATGGAAATGGTTTTCTAACAAAAGGATGTGTTCAGCTTACTTTCTCTCTCTCTCTTTCTCTCACCCTCTCTCATCATTTCACTTTCTGTCCTAGGATGATGCAGTAAAAAGGCCCTTGCCAGATGGAGGCCCCTCCTTGTTGGATGCCCCAGCCTCCAGAACTGTGAGAAATAAACTTCTGTTCTTTACAAATTACCCAATCTTTGGTATTTTGTTATAGCAGCACAAAACAGATGGAGACAACTGTCAACAAAGCAACCTTTACTAAGCATCATGGTTCTGCAGACACTATACTATGCACTGGCAGTGCCAACAAGAGCTTATATATGTGCTCTGGCTGGAGAGATGGAACAGAAAAAAATAATAACAATATGAAGTACCCTAAATACCAAATACTTGGTACTCATCAAAATTCCAATTGGGAAATATCATATTAGTAACAATGTGCTAGTTAAGAATGCAGGCTTTGGACATCCATGTACCTGAGTACAACCCAGCTGACTCTGCCCTCCATCTGTTGGCTGAGTAAATTTGGGTAAGTTATTTAACTTGGTACTTCTCTAAAGACTGGTTCATAGATCAGCAGCAACAACCTTGCTTAGAACTTATTAGAAATGCAAGTTCTAAGACCCTGCTCTACACATACTGAGTCAGAAACTCCAGTATTGGAAAAACAAATTTTACATTAACATGCTCTTCAGGTATTCCTGATATTTGTGGAAGTTTGAGAACCCCTACTGAACCTAAGTCTCAGGATAATAGATATGTGTTGTTTTGAAGACTAAATGTTCAGCACGTATAATAATGGGGTCTAGCAATGTTAGTTAATTTATTATTACTATTGAAGGGCAGAGGAGAAGGTTGCTTCTGAGCTGGTTTTAGGATTAAGTAAATGTGGAGAAAGGGGAGGTCATTCTAGGAAGTAGAAAGGTACAATGCTTTGAAAGGCTCTGTGCTAGAGATTTCATCAGATTTTGGAGTCAGGTAGATTCTGGACAATGTTTGGAAATAGACATTGGATTCAAATCTCAGCTTCACTACTTGAAGTTTTGGATTATTTACTTAACTGGAATATATTTACTAAAAATTGGGATAATAAGTCCCCTAGATAATTATTGGAGGATTAAATGAGATAATGTATGTAATGTTCAAGGCAGAGTGCTTGGTATTTGCTAAATATTAGTTGCTGTTGTTACTTTCATTATTATTATCTATTACTTGATAATTTCTTTATTTTTTCCTTTCTTTTTTTTTTTTAACTTTTAAATGACTGAGTTCTCCTCATCTTTCAGGATTTTGCTTAAATGTCTTGTCTTTAGTGAGACTTCCATGATTAAATAAGGTAAAAAATAACCCCTTCCTTGTTCTCTATTTTGAGACCTTCCTTCCTTCCTTCCTTCCTTCCTTCCTTCTTTCATTCCTTCCTTCTTTCCTTCCTTCCTTCCTGCCTTCCTTCCTTCCTGTATTTCTCCCTAATTAGCAAACAATCGTAGTATTAATTCTTATAACTACTTGTTTGCAGTTTTAGTTTTTAGAATAGTGCCTTTTTATTTTATTTATTTATTGTTATTAAACAATAAATATTTGTTTAATAGATAAATGAATGATTGTTGATGCAAATGCCATGAGAGTTATGCCCACAAATAGGATCTTCAAGCAAATATTCAACTTGTATCAAGCACAGCCATTCTGCAAAAACAACATCTCAGTAGCACCTGTGGCCAAAGAGAGATGATGAAAGAGATCATCTGGAAGGAAGAAAAATGCTCTTTCTTTTCACTGTGATGGTTTGGTGACAGTGATCAAAACAAGTAAAGTCATTCAGATATATACATATTTATGAAATATGACAACTTGTATGTTTCATTTCTACGTATTAATCTGGCTCTCCTTTCTTGGATAAATTTCTCTAACATATATTAATGGATTTCCCTTGAAAAGTGATCATTTTTCTTTTTTTATTTTGCAAGTAGCCATGGTTTAAGTTTTGTTAATTCCTACTGAAAATTCTCAGCCTGCAAAATCAAAAATAGTCTTCAGCAAGACCTTTTTGAACAGCATACATTGAGGGGAGATATTTACATCCTACTGTGGTTGAGGCTATTAGTTCTACTCTTATATTTATCGCTCTTAGAACATTTTGCAACATTATTCTAATAAATGCAGATGATTAGTACGTTAATACTCACATATCATGCACTCATGGTTAATATAAAACTGCATGTTTAACTTCTTAAAAGAATAGTAGATAGAAGAATATACAGTGGTTACATTTTTCTGAAGAGCAGGATCAAAATATACACTTTTTAAAAAGTTAACGTATGAGAAAAAATATATGGAGAAATATTTTATTAGCATTAGACTCTCAAATTTGCTTGCTAACTTAAAAATATCTTATTCTCAGAATACGCTCATATTAATTTCTTTAATTATGCCAAATGATCCATGCGTGTTATGTTCTGCATTAAATATCTGTTGTCTTTTTTCTTTTCCTTTCTCTGTTAGTGAATTGTATAGAAACCTAACCTCTGGTGCATAAATCAAAATGCTGCTTCATTTCACTCTCATTATCTTCCACAAACAAGACATATTTAATGTGGACATGCGCAACTGATATAACTTAAGACTCATGTTTGAGGCATGTCAGTCCATTCTCAGAAGCATGAGGCAGCACAGGAATAAGCCAGAGTGGGACCTGGTAACGGAGCTTCCCACTGGGAGGATAGACTCTGGGGAAGTGAGGTTATTGCTAAGACATTTTTTTGGAACTTTGTGCTATTAGAGAAGTGTGTGGCCAACTCCATGGGGACTCAGATGAACAGCTAGCTCTGGTGTCTCAATCAGGTGGACAAAGCAGTAAATAAGCACATCTGCCTCTGTTTCAGAACAGTGGATTATCAGTCACCTGATGGGTATATGAGGCTTTGCTCCATTCCTGCAGCGATGACTGGAAAAAGCTGGGAACATGTACCTACATGCGTATAGGGTTCAGGTAGTTGCATAAACAAGGAAAGCAGGCCATGTGCAATACAATGGGGAGTGGTGAGACCTGTAGAAAAGGCCCTGTTTAATGGGAACCACTGTTGCTCAGTTATAACTCACCATTGCCATTTGTTTTGAAAGCAGGCCAACTAGTGTCAGAATCTCCAGTTGTTTCCAGGAAAGCTAAAAGACCCAGATTTAATGTGAAACCATGTTTTATTTTTAAAAGTTTGTTAAAAATATTTGTGATAATTTTAGATTTATAGAAGAGTTGCAAAAGTAGTGCAGAGGGTTTCTGCGTATTTTTACCGAGTGTATATGTTTCCTAGAGCTGCTGTAACAAGCAACTACAAACTTGGTTGCTTAAAACAATAGAAATTTCTTCTCTGGCAGTTTTGGAGGCCAGTGGTCTGAAAACAAGGGTTCTTTCCCTTGCACGCTTTGAGAGGGAATCTGTTCCATGCCTCTCTCCTAGCTTCAGGTGGTCTTCAGCAACCTTGGCATTCCTTGCTTTGTAGACACATCACTTTGATCTCTGCCTTTCTCTTCACATAGCCCTCCCCTCTGGGACTCCTTTCTTTTATAAAGACACCAGTTATTGAATTTAGTAATCACCCCAAATCCAGACTTACTGCATTTCCAGTTCCTTAACTTACATACATCTGCAAAGACACTATTTCTGAATAAGATCACATATATAGATGCGGAGAGTTAGGGCTTGGATATATCTTTTTGAGGAGTGTATTAGTCCATTTTCACACTGCTATAAATAGCCACCTGAGACTGAGTAATTTACAAAGAAAAGAAGTTTAATTGACTCACAGTTCCTCATGGTTGGAGAGGCCTCAGGAAACTTACAATCATGGTGGAAGGCAAAAGGGAAGCAGGGCACGTCTTACATGGTGGCAGGAGAGAGAGAGAGGCTGAGGGGGGAAGTTCCACACTTTTAAACCATCAGATCTCATGAGAACTCATTCACTATCACAAGAACAGCATTAGGTATTTCTGCCCCCAAGATCCAATCACCTCCCTCCAGATCCCTTCCGTGACACGTGGGGATTACAATTCCATATGAGATTTGAGTGGGGACAGACAGCCAAACCATATCAAAGGTCCACTTTTCAACTCACTAAACCCAGATTTCCATAATTTATCATATTATAATACCCTAAAGAATTATCTACTACAAAGCTAGCATTGGTATAGTATTATAAACTATATATTTATTTGGATAAAACTAGTTATTCCACTCTATACATTCCAAAGACATGCCTCTCATTAGAATTGGCCCTTTCCTGACTCTGAGAAGGTAACCTCGGAGCCCCTGGAATATTCTGCCTGATAAAAGTATTTTTGTTTGCTTAAGATGAGGTCTTGAGTCACACTGTATCAGTTTGACCAGATAGTTTATGCTAACCGTGTGATTCATGGTGAATGCCTGTTTTTATGTGTCTGAGGATTTGGGCCCCACTCTATTAGCTTGACCACTGGAAGGTGCTGGAGACTCAATAGCTACCATCAGTCAGAAGGGCACTGCATGCCTAAGTGACCCTTAGGTCACTAAGAACAGAAAAAAGAGACATTAGTGAATGTATCAGAGGTACCCAGGACTACTATCATGTTCAATGTTCCATTCTAGGGTCTAATCCAGAATCCCACATCACGTTTTAATAGTTAGATCTCCTTAGTCTTTCCCAATCCATGACATTTTATTGAGTTTTTTTGTGACCTTTGAAGAGTACTGTCTATTGATTTTGAGCAGTGTCACATAATTTGAGTTTTCTTCTGTATTCTCATTATGAGATTGAGTTATCCATTTTGGGAAGGTACACTGCAAGGGTAATGTGCTCTCTGTGCTCTCCTCAACAAATCACATTAATGGATACATTATGTTGATTTTTTTTTTTTTTAAAGTGGTGATGTTAACTCTAATTCCTTGGTTAAGGCAGTATTTTCTAGGTTTCTCCATAACAACATTATTATTATTTTATTTTTTTCCCTTTGTAATTAATATATAGTCTGGAGGGAAATACCAAGGGCTATGCAAAATCATCTGATTTCAAATATTGGCAGTGTTTTAAAGAAACACAACATAACCCCCCCACAAGAATGTTATCTCAGGTTCACCAATTTGCAGACTTTAGACAAATGCAAAAATGGAGGGAAACTTGGTTACTAGGTAGGATGACTGAGGAATTTTCAAGTAGGCTTGAGATTGTAGCAGAGATTTATGAAACAAACAGATGTGCATCAGTTGCACTGTCACTGAAACCCTTCCTAGGAGACAGGCTGAGACTACCCTCTGTCAGATTTATATGGGGCAAAGGGTTGGGTAGTCTTTAGCTTACGTGGGTGTATTTACTTTGATTTAGAAACAGCTGTGACACAAGAGCATGTCAGTACATCTTCTGAGAAGAGCTACCATCATTGCTCCATTTTTAAATCCCACTTGTGCACTGATTGAACTTCAGATCATTCTTTGGGCTGCCATTCTTTCTTAGTGTTATGAGACTTTGATATCATGAGTCATATAACAAGTAGTTCTCAGCACCAACACAACAGGTCTAGGTACATCATGACTTCTAGGAATGGCTAGTGGAAGGCAAAACGAAGATCACAGGATAATTTTAGATCTTGGCATAATTGTAGAGAAAGATTGAGGAGTAGAATGCCCAACATAAGGTTATGATTTTTCTGTTTCTTTTGTTTGTGATGGGGCTTCTTCCCTATTATTAAAAATAATGATGCATAATCCTCAAATAAATATATTTTCCCTAAATATAATAAAACAGGTATTTGTTCGCCTTAGGTTATGATGAAAAAATATGTTTGGTAAATCATTGAAGAGGCAACTGATGAGCTCCACCATGACTCTTTCAAACTTGTTTCTTTGCAATTATTCTTTAAAACTCAGGAGATTTATGTAAGTCAGTCAATTACAAATCAAGTCTTCTGTTTTTATTTTCAAGCATGAATAATGCTTTTTTCAAGATTATTGATTTTTAAACTAATAGAGATCTCATCTTTTCTAACAAGGAGATCCACGTGGTACAGATAAAGGGAAAAGAGGAAAATTAAAACACGTATTACCCATGTTGTCCTTTCAAGTGGCTTCATAAAGAAGAGATTCAGTGAGAGAAATTGAAAAAATTTGTCTTGGTTTTTGATGGGACCCACAGTTTAAATTCATACCATGGGCCACAAATATGATATTTATAGTTTTGTTGTTTCTTTCATTAAGAAAATTATTATAAAATGTATGCTCTTAATCTTACTGTAATTTCTTGAGTGATAGCTTGGCAAAAAAGAAATGTAATAGTGTCACTCTGGATGTAATTCAGCTATTTGATGAATGCTAAATCAAAATTTGTTTGATCTAATTCCTCTTGTTGGCTGAGCTAATAAGTTAATTTCAGGTGATTGCCATGACACAAGCATCACCAGCCTCGTCCCAATGTTGGAAAGCATGTTCTGGCAAGAAAAGCCCACATCTGTGAAGTTTGTAAGTATGTCCTCATTTTTTTCCCTTTCTTTCTGAGATAATGTGTTTTTCTATTTCATTATACCTAGCTACATATCTAGTTGGAAGTCAGTCCCTTGGCCTCAAATACTTGCATTTGGATTGATGGATGATTAAACATGGGTTTGAAATCATTGTCTGAATTTCTTTTCACAAAGTTTAAGTTCCCTGATCCATTACTTGTTGTAGTTCATGTTTCAATGTCAACACAAAATTCTTGACCAAGAAGACAATTTTGTATTTTCTATAAGGTGAGCAAATAAGACATCTTCATTTCCTACCCGCCCCTCTGCAATTCTAGCCACTCTGTGTTTGGGTGAATTTATATATATGAATATACATATATCTTAGGTATATTGTCTTTATTCTAGATGACACTGTCTTTTAGTATTATGCACTCAATATAAATGATTTTTTTTCAAGTAATGATCTCATTGTAGTTAGAGGGTTACCTAAACTTGCCCTCAGCAACTCTTGTTTTACTTACCTTTACAGATTTGCTTTTTTTTCCTTTTAATCTTATTGTAAACCATGTTATCAGAAAATATACATTGTACTTCGAATGGGTTTGGAAATCAGGGACTGTTTGTTTTGTAATACTTTTAAAACATGAGTGCCTCTTGGGTGACAACATATTGAAATCGGCCCAATTGTCCTATAGAACTGATGTTCACAGTCTTTTAAAATAAACATAGAAATTGAGCCAGCCTTAAAGCTTGAAACTTACATTGGTCTTATCTGAGTTTCTTCCTCAAGAAACTAGATGGTATCAAGGAACTGAAACTCACCAGATCACCACATCTAGACAATGAGAAGCCAAGACGCTCATCCTTCATGATTTCCTTAGCCTTCCCTAATTCCTATTTACCTGGGTGTAGTTATATTCCTTCCCTGCTGTATAAACTCCCAATTTGAGTCAGTCAGGGAGATGGATTTGAGACACATTTCCCATCTCCTCAGCAGCAGACCTGGTTAAACCCTCCTTTCCTGGCAATACCATAGTCTCAGTGATTGGCTTTCTACGTGGTGAGCAGCAGGACCTACACTGAAATTGCAGTATTTTGGTAACAGTATCTGCTCTCCATTCAAATCTATACTCAGCCACACAGAATTATTTTTTCGGTTTCTTGAATATTCTGCACATTTTCTTCTACTTCTAAGCCTCCGGAAATAATCTGAAAAGCAGCAAAATTGCCACAGTGTGGAACCAAAATAGGGGTAAAAAGCCCTTTAGACATTTCTTTTGGCAATATACTGACTATACTTAGTAGGACCTGGCTCATAGAGACTTCTCTCTTTAGGAAGTGGACATCTGGTGACTCAAGCATTTGGCCTGAGGCAGTTTCCAGGGGAGTTTCAACTGCAATTCCACAGGATTTCATTACAAGCTATTTGCGGTCTTGCTTTTTCCTTTGCTGGTACTAAACAGGTGACATATATTTTACATTGAGAATTAGTGTCATCTGACTTGAGGCCACTGCTTTTCTTCTTGGTTTCTGGTGCCCTTTGCAGTAGTGCCTTTCCTACCACTTTACATTTCGCAGACTAAAACATCTCAAATAGCCCTGAGAAAGAAAAAAACTGCCTCTCTCTTCTATTCAAGGCTCTCACTTCACCTTAAATGCAGATTTATTTTTTCTTTTTTTTAAGTTATGTATGAGGATTTTTTCTTTTCTTTTTCCTTTTTTGAGACAGGATCTTGATCTATTGTACAGGCCGCAGTGCAGTGGTAGAATCACAGTTCACTGCAGCTTCAACTTCCTGAGCTCAAGCCAGCCTCCCACCTCAGCTTTGTGAGTACCTAGGGTCACAGGCATATATCACTACATTTGGCTAATTACTTTTTATTTTTTATAGAGATGAGAATTCCCAATGTCATCACTCAGGCTGGTGTCAAACTCCTGGTCTCAAGTGATCCTCCCCATTTGGCCTCCCAAAGTGTTGGCATTACAGGCATGAGCTGCTATGCCCAGCATGTATCAGGATTACCAAGAGAGTATCTGGTCAACCATTCTAGTCTCACTGATATTTGCTGGATTAATTGCCAGCATATTGTTCTAAATAGCTTCTTAAGTACTTATTTGTAGATATTTACTTAATGAACAGGCCTTTACATCAGTGATATGAACCAGTCATTTAAG